TGGGACTGGAGAGATGATGGATGGGTCAGGGGTTCAGAACATTTGCAGAGGATGTGAGTTCAATTCCCAGCACCCACATGATGGCTTCCAACCATCCTAACGCACCAGGGCGTCCGAGGCACTCTGCTGATCTCCACAGACAACAGGCATGGGTGTGGTGTGTAGGCATACATGAAGGCAAGAATCATGCACATGAAATAAAATATCTGAAAAAGAGAGAAAGAAAGTTAACTGATGGGTGTTTGTACACTCCCAGGAACTGGGCCCTCATTTTAGAACAAGGTCCTTACGTTCCATGTATAAACAACTCAGGACTATATTTTTTGGGGGGGAGTTGTTTTTATTTATTTATTTGTTTGTTTTCTCAAGACAGGGTCTCATTATGTAGCTTTGGCTAGTCTAGAACTCACTGTGTAGATGAGGATGGCCTCAACCTTACAGAGACCTGCCTGCCTCTCTAGCGTTGGGATTAACCACCAAGCCTGACTTTTTGTGGTGGTGGCAGTGGTTGTGCATTTATTTATTTTGCATGTCTGTGTATGTGTATGGGCACATGCGTGCCATGGTGTGCATGTGGACAACAGAGAACAGCTTCTGGGGGTCAGTTTGCATCTTCCACCGTGTGGGTCCTGGGGACCTGACCAGGCTGTAAGGGCTGGCACCTGGCGTTCTTTACCATGGTGCCATCTCACGGATGGACCGTGTTAGTTTTGGGTTTTCATTTCTTTCGTGAATTGGGTTAGCACGCACACGTGAAGCTCAGGGGACAACTTGTAGGACGCAGTTCTCTCCTACCGTGTGGTTTCAGGCCGAACGAGTTGGGACTTGCTTAATAACAGCTTACATACAAGTCCAGTGCGGTAGCAGGCTGGGATTCAGGGGCGAAACACTTGGTGAGCAAGCTTGTGGCCGTGGGTTCCGAGATCTAGCGCCACCAAAACGCCACCAATAAAAGTCCCTTGAAGATAATGTGTTTACATACAAAGACACGCTTTGACTACTGTATAACTGATTTGGGGGGAGGGAGTATTTTTGTTTTGTTTTCTTTCTCATACAGAGTCTCATGTAGCTCAGACTCACTGTTTAGCCACATTACGGGCTTACGATCTCCTACCTCCACCTTGGTAATGCTGAAAATATGCGCCATCACCTCGTCCGGATGACTGAGTGAATGACTGAGTATTGCTAGGTAGATAGGTGGTGATTTTGTTTTGTTTTGTTTTGTTCATTATGCGATGGGTGTCTGCCTGTATGTGTCTGTGCATCACATATGTGTAGTGCCCCCAGAGACCGGAAGAGGGGTTGGGCCCTCCAGAATGGTTGTTAGCTATCATGTGGGTGCTGGGAACTGAACCCTGGTCCTATGCAAAAGCAACAAGTGCTCTTAGCTGCACAGCCCTCTCATCCGACCCCTCCCTTATGGTTTTTTTTTTTTTTTTTTTTTTTTTTTTTGGTTTTTCGAGACAGGGTTTCTCTGTGTAGCTTTGCGCCTTTCCTGGATCTCGCGCTGTAGACCAGGCTGGCCTCGAACTCACAGAGATCCGCCTGCCTCTGCCTCCCGAGTGCTGGGATTAAAGGCGTGCGCCACCACCGCCCGGCTCCCTTATGTTTTTATCTGTAATCCCTGAGGGGCTTGCTCTTATATTGTTACTGCCCTTAGGGGTCACAGCCTGTGCCCCAAGAGTCAGGTTTTGCCACCCATCCTCAATAAAGCCAATTAATAGCAAAAAGTAAAAAAGTGGAGTCATTCAATGTGGCCACGTAGGGGAGAGAGACAAAGAGGTCCAGCCACTTCCCCCAGTCCATCTTTTGGGGGTCCTGACATGAGTGTAGGGTTAACTAGAAAGCAAGAGGTATGCAGTTCCGAAAGGTATGGTGCCCAGCCCACGACAGCAATGGCTCCAGGCCTCCCCTGCAAGGTCAGCTAACCAGTCAGTCCTTGTCAGGGAGACCAATTCCTCCTCTGGGTGGCCAAGGGTTTCAGCTCTCCCATAGAGAGATTGCTGGGGGAACCCTAACATCTCAGGGGCCTTCCTTTCAATACTCTGGTTACTCTATAGCCAAAGAGGAGTACACATGTCTCTTTAGACATTCATTCTCTCCAGAGAGGCCGGGTACAGTATCGGGAAGAACTTTTACAATCACAGTAAGCAAGAACTGCTATGATGGTTACATAAAAACTACTGGAGGTCTACAGAGCAAGTTCCAGGTCAGCCGGGGCTACACAGAGAAACCCTGTCTCCAGATAACAACAACAACAACAAAGCTGTCAATCATCTACCTATCATCTATCTATAATCTATCTATCACATATCTACCATCTGTCTATCATCTACCTATCATGTATCTATCTCAATCTCTGTGTGGATTGTGTTCACAGATGTGTCTGCAGGCACAAACTACCCATATACACAGAGGCCAGAGGGGACACTGGCTGGCCTGCTCCATAACTCTCCACTTCATTCCTTTGAGACAGGGTCTCTCCCTGAACATGGAGGTAGGGCAGGAGGCCAGCCAGTCCCAGCAGTGCTCCTGACCCTCTTTCTTAAAGTAGGACCATCTCGAATTCTGATCGCCTTTGAGTTAGGAACTGTGGCAGCATGTCCCCAGTGTTGTCCCCTGTCTGATCTGACACCAGGAAAAGTGCAACTGGCCTGGGAAGTTCGTGGGCCTTGCAGGAGGCAAAGCCAGCCATTGCATTGGGATGGAACCCTAGCAGGACTTTTTCTGTATACTATAGAACATGAGATGATTTTTTCTTCTGCACCAGTCTGGGGTTTTTGTGTTACTTAGAGAACATTTTATTAGTTTCTGGAGTCAAACCAACGTTAGACAGACAGACAGCTTGACGATCGGCGTTAACAAGGAGAAGGCAGAGAAGTTCAGAGGACACGGTAAATCCATAACCTAGGAGAGCAGACACTGTGTGCCTGGAAGCATCATCCACTTTCTTTGGAAAATGAGTGGGCTGAATGTCCCGAGAATAGATTCTGAGTGAAATGGTGAGTTCACATTGTAGACACTTGCCTTAGAAGTCATGTCCTGATCTGATGTCATTAGGTTCAGGTGGGAGTGGATAGCCTGATTATGGCGCTCACCCGTCTTGAACCTTTCTGGGCCTTCAGATGGATGACGGAGACCGTGGTGTCACAGACCCAGCTGCCACCTTTG